ATAAGGTATRCAGTGCTCAACTTTTTAAGATAGCCAAATTGTTTTCTGAATTAGTTTTTCTCCAGTTCACACCGTAAAAAACAATGTGTAAGAATTACCACTGGGGGCTGGGGATGTGGCTCAAGCGGTAGTGCACTCGCCTAGCGTGCGTGCGGCCCGGGTTGGATCCTCAGCACCACATACAAACGAAGATGTTGTGTCCGCCGAGAACTAAGAAAAAATAAATAAATATTAAAATTCTCTCTCTCTGTCCTCGCCCCTCTCTCACTCTCTCTTTAAAGAATCTCTTTTAAGAATTACCACTGATCCATACCCTCTTGAGCTTCAGTATTAACCGTATTGGGTTTTACCAGTTTACCTATTTGGATATAGAATTATATCGGTCTTAATTTGCCTTTCCCTAGTTCATGGCATGTCTTCATTTATTTTTTGTCTATATATGTTTCTATTTCTATAAAACTTTCTGCTATGTCTTGTTCATTTTATCTTGAGTTGTCTTTTCTCATTATTTGATTGGTTAGCAAACAGATTAACCCAAGGCCTAGCACATGCTAGAAAAGCTCTGGACTACATCCCCAGCCCTTTTTATTTTATTTTGAGACAGGTCTTACTGAGTTGCCAATTCTGGCCTCAAACTTTTGACCCTCCTGTTTCAGCCTACTGTGTTGCTGGGATTTCAGGCAAGCACCACCACACCCCCTCACCCCACCCTAGGACTCACACATTAGGCAAGTACTTTACCACTGAGCAACCCCCCACTCCCAGCTCTCTCATTTATTTTTTATTTTATTTTATTTTTTTTTAAAGAGAGAGTGAGAGAATCTTTTTAATATTTATTTTTTTTTTTAGTTCTAGGCGGACACAACATCTTTGTTGGTATGTGGTGCTGAGGATCAAACCCGGGCGGCACGCATGCCAGGCGAGCGCGCTACCGCTTGAGCCACATCCCCAGCCCTCTCATTTATTTTTAAACAATACTTAATGAACAGGAATTACAGGTATCTCTGTGCATTTTTGGTTTCTCTTTGCTCTTCCTAACTTCAGTATTGTCAAATTTATTCTCTATCTCTCTTCCTCTCAATGCTTGTTTTTCTTACCATATGATGACCTGTGAAGTACAGAAGCACTTACTGATCTGGTTTATCTTAGGTTATGTTGCTATATATCATGGCTGTGCAATGACAAAAATATATAGTAATGCAGAATGTCTGCTTAACTTATAGTTAGGCCAAAGTTCACAAACAATGTGAAAAAACTAATCATTAATGTGTTTATAATTGATAGTTGATCAAATTTAGGGTATTGAGGAGAGAGGTAATTCACTTGGAAAATTTTGTGCAGGAGATTGCTTACAGAAGATAGTAAAACTGCCAGTAAAAGCATAGGGAATGTAAATATTGGTAACTGTTACATAAYATTTAGTAAAATTCTGCTTATTTCTGGGAGAATAAAAAGCAACTAGTTGGTCTAATTTTGTGCATCACCAGAATTTCTGATTCTTTTCAGCCAGCTTAAATCCTTTGCTGTCACATAAGGCACATTTTCAGAGATCTTTGGAATCAGGATACTTTTCCTGTGGTACTTGGTGTAAAAGATAAATTTCCTATATTTTTTTCTTCAAGTTTAAGAGGTTTGTCTTAATCATCTAAGAATTCATTTTAGCATGTAGAAAGAGGCAGGGATCTAGTTTCATTTTTCCCCTTAGGTGTGCAATTGTTTTGCTGTATTCTGTTTGTTTTGATATTGGGAATTGAATCCAGGGGTGCTTTAGCCCTGAGCTACGTCCCAGCCCTTCTTTGAGACAGTATCTCACTAGATAGCTGAGGACCTTGCTAAATTAATGTAGTCCAGAAGACCCCTACCACAATCATAACAAGTTTCTCTCCTTGTAAGCAAGATTRTTAAACCAAAAACAAAACTTGTAGAGAACTCATTGTGGATTGAAGCTTTCTCTTTTTTGTAAAAGCTTTCCCTTTCTATTTTCCTTGGTAGAAATTTGTGAAACCTCTGTCCAATCGAAGAATATGGAACAAAGGGTCGCTGTTATGTAACCACCCCCTAAGTATAAATGTCAAAGAATTTCCAGACTCTGGGTCCATAGATTTTTTTGGCAGCAGCCCCACTGGAACACTGCAGCATAATTAAGCCTGCTTCTTGAAAATTCCTTGGGTATCCAGCTGCTGGGTTTCTGTTCTCTCGATTAAAAGGCTCAGGGGTCACTCCAGGTAAACTGGGCTAACCGGGCTGCACGAAATAACCACACAAGAGACACAAATACCTTTTTCTTTGGGGTTGCTGTGACGGCTCCTCTGACCTTAAGGGTCCGCAGGAAGAGAGTGAGCGAGAGCACGCGCTGACCCCTTTTATTGAGGAGAAGCTATTTAAATGAGGCAAGGGGTCAGGTTTCAGGGGGCTGAGTCTATCTTCATGATGTCCACTGTCAGCAGTTGACTGACACCTGGGTAGGCCACACCCAAGGGCAGAGTAAGGGGAGGGGACACACACAAGGCACTTCCATGGAAGAKTCTATCCTAAACAGGGCAAGGGGTTATGTTACAAAGGGACAGGTGAGCCTAGCTCCACCCATGGGGCTGTAGCAAGACACACCCATGCACCCTCGAACCCAAGAAGGGTGGGGGAAGCTCTGCCACATTTCTGTGACTGAGCGCCTCAGCACCCAGCTGGGGAGTATGACTCAGTCACGTGCAAGGTTGGTCTCCCACATCCAGCCCTATCTGTCCTGCATCAGAATGACTGAGGCTGGCTGCAAATTTGTGGTCCTCCCACCTTAGCCTTCTGAGTTGCTGGGATTACAGATGTGTGCCACTGATTCAGCTTCACCATTCATTTAAATTTTAAAAACATAAAGTAATATTAATTAATTTTTTATCTGCTGAATATTAATATTACCCATCCTTTTACCTTTTAACATTTTTATCAGTTTGCTTTTTTAGCTGTCTTTTGTAAACAATATGAATACTTTAACCTCATGTTTTTTTAGTAGAATTTAACCCATTTACATTTATTAGAAATGACAAAATCTTTATCTTTGATTTCTATGCCTTCTGAGTTTTATTCACTGTTATTGTTTTACTTTTTTCAATTGTTCTTATGTTATTTTCTCTATTATTTAATACAATAGTGACATTTATGTATTTATACATTCATTTATTTGTTTATAAAGGCATAGACAACTGTTTATTTAGGAAAGTAGATCTATATTCAAGTGAGAATGAGGGCAGTCTCAGGATATGCCTTTAGGGTAAAGCAAGGAGTAGATATTCAAGAGAGAATGTTTGCTCTCTCCAAAGGGGGAGAGAGCAACTCTATAACTCAGTGTTATAGAGATAGTCGTTGAGGTCACTGTGATGACCCCAACACTAGAGGTGGATGTAGAGTGGAGCTACACAATATCATGCCAGTTTTCCCTGGACTTGAGCATTTTCCTGTGTTACAAGGGTGTGGGCAAGGGCATGTGGATCGGGAGGTGGGCAATTTTTCCCAGATACTTTTGCATCTCAGTGGTTCATGGGTGTTTCCTTTGAGACTCAGTATCTTTTTCTTTATTCCCAAATTCCTATCCCATTCATACCTCTCAGACATTTATCCCTTTATCTTAAGGGTTTTTGAGGGTGAAGATTTATTTACTATGGGAACTTGAGACTGGCATGGGACAATGACCCTGCTTAGTGTAAAATGTTTCATTTTGACTTATCTAAAGGAGGTAGACATTGCTCTCAGCTATGTGGATGGATTGGAATTCTTGGGTTGCCATCCACTTAAAGTAGAATTTATAATCTGGAAGATATAAACCCTGTCTCTAAGTAAGAATAAAAAGGGTTGTAGCTCAGTGATAGAGTGCCTGTGGGTTCAATCACCAGTGTGAGGCAGGGGGAGATTTCCTAAAAGCATTCTTTGAGAGCATTTCGCTGATGATTGGGGTCAAGAGTGAAACAGTATCATCTGATTGTATCCTTATCTGAAGTAAAGAAAGCTACCTTTTCCTTAYTTTCAACCTTATCCTTTTTTGCATCTTTGTTCATTTAATTTAGAATTTTCTGCCCCAGATTTTACCTTACTTTTATATTACATACACATTCAAGAATAACTTTGGATTATGTTTAATTCTGCTGTAGAGCCAAGTCTACAATTATTTTGTTATATGTTTTAAGTCGCTTCAGAGCAAACTATCAGATTTTCTTTTTCTTAAATGTTGTACATAATAAGAAAGYACACAAATTCTCATTGTGTTTGATAATTTTCACAAACTGAACACATTCATAAAACCTGCACCTATATCAACAAACAAATTTTCCCCAAACTTAAAGAGGTCTAGCCTGTTCTCTTTCTGGTCGATATTCACTTTGATTTTTTTTTTTTTTTTTTAACACATACAGTAATTGTTCTTGATCTTTGTTAAGATGAAATTGGACAGTGCACACTGGTCTAGCTCATTTAAACTCTAGGCTTTTGCAACTCATACTATTGTATATAATGAAAGAGCAGTTATTGTTAATTATACTTCACTGTGCAACTATCCTATACATCAGTATTCCAGTGTGCTACTGATTGGCATGTGGATTCTTTCTATTTATGGGGTGTTATAATGTTGCTAAAGAAAACTCATACTTGGGCTGGGGATGTGGCTCAAGCGGTAGCGCGCTCGCCTGGCATGTGTGCGGCCTGGGTTCGATCCTCAGCACCACATACAAACAAAGATGTTGTGTCTGCCAAAAAAAAAAAAACTAGAAAATAAATATTAAAAAATTCTCTCTCTCTCTCTCTCTCTCTCAAAAAAAAAAAAAAARAAAAAGAAAACTCATACTTGTTTTTTGGACTGTAAATAAATATTGAAATTATTTTTTTATTTTCATTGACAGATGAAAATATAATTAATTAAATCTGTAGAGATAGTCTTTTAACACTATTTTTAATATTGTAAATAAACTTAGTGGAGAAATGCATTTAAATATGATATCTTAAATTCTAGGATATGAAAGATGGCAAGTCCAGATAGAAGTAAACGGAAAATATTAAAAGCCAAAAAAACAATGCCTACAAGTTGCCGGAAGCAAGTAGAGATCTTGAATAAGTCTAAGAATGTCGAAGCTCTGAGAACAGCAGAAATTGGGAGTAATGTTCCGAGTGGTAGTCAGAATTTAAGTACTGGGGTTATAACTAGCAAGTGTAAACATTCTGAAAATGTTGRTTCCTCACTCAATTCTAACAAAAATTCAGTGTTCTCACAGAAAAGTATAGTGGTTCCTAAGAATWTAGTAAAACCAGTAGAAGAAATTGTTGATTCAAAAACAAGACTGGATCATATTGATGAACAAGTTATGTGTCATTACCAAAAGCCAAGAAGAACATTAGATTCTCCCAGCAAATTGTTTATACAAAGGGCAGAAGATTCCCAGAACACTTCTGAAACTCATCTTGAATATCAGACAAAAGTAAAAGGATCTTTTTTTGAACTGGAAGAGAATTATAATCTAAAACCTATTTGCTGCCCGCCCGACGTATTGAATGATAAGAGAATCGATAAGATGGTTTCCAATTTAGAAGCAAACTCCAATTCAGAGTCACTTGATAAGAAGCAAAATGACATTTTAAGTCCAAACTCACATTTTCTGCCTGTTGAGAAAACATCTTGCATGGTAAATTTAGTTAATTCCTCCAGCTGTATTGCTAACATTTTGAAAACAGAAGAATCCAGTAGAACCTGTCGTTCCAGCATTTCATATTGTGAAAGTACAGACTCAAAGTGGGAGTCATTACTCGACACTGATGGTAATAACAGTAAGTGTATATTTTTGCCTCTTTTATAGAAATTAATTTTTCTTTGGGGATTTTAAAACCTCAAATATACAAGTAGGTGAGTTTGTATAGACTATATTTAAAGAAAAAGTAAATGATGATTATAATTATTTCAGAGTAACGTGTTTATGAACTCTTTTTGGTGGGGAGGAGGAAGAGTATTGTGAAAAGAGACTTTCAACAAATCTAGCTGTGCCGTTGCTAATTGGCTTTATTTCCAGTTCTTGAATTAGGCAGCAGTCAGGACCAAAAATGTTTCAAGAAGCTCTTTCCCACTACACAACAGGTTGTATTTATAGCCAAATAAAAGGGAGCAACATAGAGAAAATGAAGTGAGGTGCAAGAGACAGCCTGATCTGATTGGTTGTAGCTCATGTCCAGTTTTCATCAGGTGGCCCCTTGTGCTTTCCAGACAGGTACTTTTTACATGAGTATTCAACACATCAAGTTAGGTTGTAATTCACTGCACATCCAAAAATGTTCAGGCYGTCTTAACTACACAAGTGGCTTTAGACCAAAGTTGATTCATTTTAGCTGTATATAAAGGAAGTTATTTTTGCTGGGCATGTTCTGCTGGGCGAGTTGGCTCAAGCCTGTAATCCCAGCAGTTTGGGAGACTGAGACAGGAGGATTGCAAGTTCAAAGCCAGCCTCAGCAATAGCGAGGCACTAAGCAACTCAATGAGACACTGTATCTAAACAAAATATAAAATAGGGCTGGGGATGTGGCTCAGTGGTCAAGTGCCTGTGAGTTCAATCTCTGGTACCAAAAAAAAAAAAGGAAGTTATTCCTGACAAGGAAGGAATCATTTTCCTGAGAGAGCAAACAATCTCAAAATGTGGCTTATGGCAGTTCTTTGGTTCATTTCAATCATGTCTCTTGTTATTTTGAAGTTTTGTTTATTAGAAAGAGTGGATTTTCAAAATTGTTGGTGAACTCATTTCCTTCCATGGACTTGGCCTGTGAATTACATGGTAGGTAAAAGATGATAGATAATGTCATATACACACATACATATATATCCTTGTGTCTGTGTGTGGAGAGAGGAGAGAAACACCAAATAGTTAACAAATGAAGTCCTAAGTTGTAAAATTATTCAAACAGCAAAAGTAAACTTGAATGTTTATGTTGGTTGTTGAAATAGAAGAAAATACTTATAGAATTTTGAGATTTTTTTTCTAGTCTACAGAGTAATAATTTAAAGGATGAATTTAAAATTGTTTAAAAATGATAGGTTCACCTGTTAAAAAATATATAGCATTAATTAATTGTAAAAGTAATGTAGGATCACTGAATTAGCTAAGCAAAGGATTAAATGATGTAGTTTGACTGGTTTTTGTTGGTATATGTGTATATGTATATGTATATGTAATAAGTCTGGAGTGGGAGTGTATCTGAGATCAGAACCATACTTTATCAAAATAGTCTTTTTTTTTAACAAGTTTGTGGGAACATTTTTATGCATCAAATTTTCTTAAAAATTTTTTTACATTTTAGTTTTTCCATTTGCTTAGAGTGTCCCCAAATTAGGGATTCCCATTTTCTTCTCAAGAAAGAATATTTTTATTTCTAATCTTTCCATCTCCTCAAGGCCATAATCAAAAGAAGAGGACGCTTTCAGAAAACAAAGAAAATGTTAAACGCATGAAAACTTCAGAGCCAATTAATGAAGACATTTGTGTAGCTCTGGAAAAGCAAACAGCAGTACTGGAACAGGTAAAATATTGGGGTTTAAATATTTGCCTCAAAAACATTTTTTGATTTGTTAAAAAAACAATATTTTTAATTAAATGTTAACTAACTTCTCTCTACAGTGTCATGGTACAGATGATTTTCACTTGATGCAAAGCTGGTTCATGAAAATCAAATGAGCAGACAGATAAATTATGTCCCTTACCAAAATATTCTAGGTTCTTGAAAATGGGGGAATTGTTTAGATAGTCTAGTTGTAGAAAAAAAAATTTTTTAGTCAACCTTACAGTCAGATGCGTGTGAGTCTGACGTTGAGCAATCTTGAACTCTGCCAAATGACGGGAGCTTTTCTGCTGGTTATGGGTTCCTTAGTGGCAGGTGGCTGTTTGTAGACTTCATCATAATTGCTCAGTTTAGATTCAGACTGTCCAGWGTCCATTGCAGAGTTCTTCTGAATTCAGGTTCACTTACTCACATTCCCACAGTAACATGGATGTGCTGCTGCAGTATCTGACCTGCTGCTCTCATTTCTCCCCATTTCATCTCATTGTTTTGTGGCCTCCACACATGTCTGCTCAGCTCTGAAATGAGGTTTATTGAACTCCAATTCTGTGGCTGTAATGAGATCCTGTTTTGATGATCCGGCTTTGCTTTTCCACCATCACTGGCATCGTATCACTATCAGAAACTATGTGGTAGAGCACATGTTTCAGCCACAGTGGGCCAGAATCTTCCACACCAAGTGATCGGTGTGTTTCAGGGGAAAAAAAATATATATATATCTATCAATAGTGTGTATATATATATATATATATAGATATATAGATACATAGATATATAGATATAGATATATCAATAAGCACTACTGCATTGTAAAACAGACCATTACAATTATATAGCTATATGTCCTAGGACCACGTATTACCTATTAAAGGAAAACTTTTTTAAAAGATTGATGCAGAACCAGCTTCAAAGGTAAATTAGCAGTTTTCCTCTTTCTATCTCCTATTTTCTTCCAAGAAGATCAAAGTAGACACTAATTTAAAAAAGTATGTAATAGCTGGGCAAGGTGGTCCACTCCTATAATCCCAGCTATTGGGAGTCTGATGCAGGAGGATCACAAGTTTGAGGCCAATGTAGACAACTTAGCAAGACCATGGATATACCTTAGTATTAAAGCACTTCTGGGCTCAAGCCCCAGGATCACCAAAAGGAAAAAAAAAGGTAATTGTTCTATTGCTGGCAGAGAAGGGGCAATCAAACCTAAGGACCATGTTATCAGGAAGAAGACTGAGGCTGCATTCAGAAACAAAGTGTGAATGGACAAAATGTATCCTAGACTTYGGACATTTTAATTTCACTGGCATAGAGCTGTCAGTACCATTGTCTACTTCACAAAAGGGTTCTTCTCAGTGAGTTGAAGGCATCAAGTTTCTTTGCATTCTCCAGAGACAACTTGGATTTCGCAGTCCTTTTTTCCTATGTCAAAACAGCTAGCTTTCCCCTCGTGTTAGTCCTGTCCAGACATTTCTCTCTCTAAGYCTGTCTCTGTTTATCTTGTTTGAATCTCATAGATACAAGGCCCTCCCATGCTGACAGTCTTTTTCCCTGTTGAGTCCTAGAGCTGTTGTCTCCTGAGATCTAGGAAGGATCGGGACCCCGCTGACTCCATTAGGTTAGAGGCTTGGAAGGTTTTTCCTCCACAGTCGAGGTTATTCACTCTAACTACCCTCTTAAAAAAAGTGAGCGCAGATTGTAAATTTAGATTTTCTACAAACTTGTGGCCAATTTGGTTGCCACCTGCAAACTGCAGGTAGGCCTTCCACCAGATTCCATAATGGTACATACATTACCATTGGTAAAACACATTTAATAGGCATTTTATGGGGCTGGGGATGTGGCTCAAGCGGTAGCGCGCTCGCCTGGCAAGCGTGCGGCCCGGGTTCGATCCTCAGCACCACATACAAACAAAGATGTTGTGTCTGCCGAGAACTAAAAAATAAATATTAAAAATTCTCTCTCTCTCTCTCCTCTCTCACTCTCTCTTTAAAAAAAAAAAAAAATAGGCATTTTATGGAATCCATTGTGCCTCTGTACAATAAACCTCATCACCAAGTGAGGACAAAAGTCCAATTACTCCTTAGTGGGCAAGTCATCAAGTTTAAGGGTCTCCCTCAGATAGAGGTTTTTTGAGCTCATTTATAGTTGAAGATCATTGTTTTTGCCTACTGTTTTCTCAGATGTAGCCAGTATGAATCATTGGTGGTGCCTGTTAATTGTACAATTTTCTAAGCCTCTTTCCTGGAGATTCTATTTGGATTCAGGATGAGGCCAAGTAGTTGTGATTTAAACATATGTTCCATTTGATTATTCCTTTCTAAGGAAGTTTTTCAGAAACACATGTTCAAAGCATTTAGATATGTTTCTCTTAAGATTTATCTGAGCATGACCTTCACATATTACCCCAGCCAGTGAACTGGCAAGCACCCAGTAACCCACACATGGGTAGCAGGTAAAGGCTGTCAGTAAAAATAGTATGTGTTTCTGAGAATTTTTTTTTACAATAATATTTTGAGTGATATATGTGTAGATATATATATACATACATATGTATGTGTACGTGTGTGTGTGTGTGTGTGTGTGTGTGTTTAATAAGCACTACGGCAAAGACCAAGTAGACATAGACAATGTTGAATAATGAAAACAATTTGAAAATGAAAAGGAAAAATCTTGGGAATAATCAAATAAAATTAGACTAAAACTGATCATCAGGTGATATCAATATAAAAGAATTCAACATGTGAACTATGCATTTCAGTTGAGCACCATGTAGCAAGATATAATTATTGCTAATAAACACCTTAAATGTATCATGACTGGTGTCTTTATTAAAAGAGACTACTTACTTTGTTATGAAATTTGTTTACAGGAGAATATACACTGAAAAACTATAGTGTTTGTGAATGTATGGCTCAGCAGAACTGTGCTGATCAGTGGCCATTGAGATTAATCATGCGTCCTGAAAATAGGCCAATCTGTTTTGTTTTAGGCCAATCTATTTTGTTTTTTGGTTTAAAGTGCAGATTATATAAAGTGCATTAATCTTTCATGTAATAGCTACTACAAAGTGTTAGAATAGCATTCATTTTTCCAGATAGTGTGAGTCATTGCATATTTGTCCCTGGCTTTTTTCCATTTTAACATAACAAAGCTACCCCTAAAACACTGTGGAAATAATGGTGAATTTCTTGCATATTTATTTCTCTCATTTCAATATGGAACTATTTCACATGTTATCTTATTTTGTTTGTATAAAATCCTTTAAGTATTCCTCATTCAGCAAACATTTTTCTATGTCCTCTATCCATTTTGGACAGAGAAAACGAAGCCCAGAGGTGTTGTGACTTGTCAAAGACCATATGGCTTGTTTCAAACTTGGGCAATTTGTTCTGTATCTACCGTAGACCACCCAACCATTTTCATCAGGCTCTGGTTTTCGGATAAGTAGAGCTGCTTTTTATGGACTACGAATTTGTAAGTTTGATAATTAAAAATCTAAATGGAGCTGGGTGCTGAGGCAGGAAGATCTTGAGTTCAGAGCCAGCCTCAGCAAAAGCGAGGCGCCAAGAAACTCGGTGAGACTGAGGACTCGGGATGTAGCTTCATGTTCAAGTGCCCCTGAGTTCAATTCTTGGTCCCCCCAACCTCCGAAAAAGTGTGTGTGTGTGTGTATGTGTGTAATATAGCTCTGTAATTGTTTCTATAATGGATATTATAGAATAATAGTCAACTGGAACTACAAGAAGCAATTTGAGAATAAATTTAATTTCTAACATCTTTATATATTGTATATGGTATTTTTTTATTCTAATTATACATGACACTAGAGTGCTGGATATGTTCTATTGAGCTTAATATTCAAGTTTTATATAACTTATTGCTACAGTAATATAAATGGAAACATTAAAAARTATCTTAGTTAATCCAGAAAAAGAGCAAAGCTATTTTTAAAAAGTAAAAAAGTTATTTGAAATTTGAAATCTGGGATGTTTTTGTTTTTATTTTAAAATTCTAGGTCAGACATTTGATTCGTCATGAGATCTGTAGTGTAAATCACAAACTATTTGATAAAAAACTGAAAGAATTGAACGAACGCATTGGGAAGATGCAGTGCAGGAATAAGCATGAAGCAACAGCTGATGAACTCTTCGTAAGTTTGATTTCATTTGAGTCCTTTTAAAACAGTGAAATTTAGTGCTCTTATGTGTTAGAAAAGGCAAACAGTGAAGGAAGAAGACCCAAGTTTGATTCCTGGCCACAAGCCTATTTAATAAGACTATGGCATAGAAAAGACAAGAACTTAATACTTTTCAGCAGTATTGGCCTTGGAGAAGTACTCAGAGCCATCAACATCCTAGGTTGCTTTATGGCTTAGTTCTTAGGCACTGTTTCTTTTCATTTTAAGTTTGTTTTGTGTTAGAGCTAAACAGCCTATTTCAACCTCTTGGAATCCCCCCTCCCCAGGGTCACTTGCTGATTGGTGTTTTTATCAGCATCAGTTTTATAGTGGACCAATTAAAAGACTGATTGTTGGGAGTCGCCCTGGCTCCAAAGACTAACTTCCTCATCCCCCCCAGAAGAGCCGCCCAATGGTGAGCCCTGCTGACTCACATGATCCTTAGCCACCAATCAGAAAGCACCCCATGCCAACTGTCAAACCATTAAACCGTTAAACTGTCATAACTGTCAAACCACCCCCTGCTCTATAAATATGCAGAGCTGTACCTCTGTAATCGGGCACTTGTTCCGAACCTGGGAGGGGGAATGCCTCACTGCTCGAGGGCCCCTCTCTCAAGGCTGGCCGTCCTCGTCCACTCTTTCGAGCACTGCACAACACTGCACAACACGGGCTCTTCAGTAGGTGAGTTCCCCTATCGGGTATCCAACTTCAGACGGGCTATTCAGGGGCTTTGACTGTGAACGTCCGGCAAACCTCTGTCGCCCAATCTGGAGGAGAGAACGCACCCCACCACCACCTTCACGGTCACGGTGGACTCTCTGGAACCYAGTSGCCATTCTCAGAGATCTGTTTGACTTCTGCAAGCCTTCGAAAAAGTGGAAGGAGATCCCCTCTCTTGAGGCTCCTTGTCTTCTTTGTTCTCACCCCAACCTATCCGGTAGATGAACACCCCCCGCCTACCTACTCCCCCGTCGGCTCTGTCCAGCCCCTCAGGTGATCCCCCTGACTAGGCTGACACCTTTAGTCCCCCCAAACTAGGTCCCGCTCCCTAATCCTACAAACCAGTGCCCCCCTTAAGAAAGGTTGCTGGACCTGAGGGCATTATTCGGGTAATGACCTCACACAAGCGAAGGTTGGGCTCATCCACCACAGATCCTACCACTTACATAAGAGTTTCAATGGGTCCTCCAGGCTTATAGCCTCACTCACCATGATATATATACATGTTATTGGCTAATACTCTCCTTCCTGAGGAACATACCAGAGTCTGGGAACTTGCCAGAGCCCATGCAGATGAAACTCACCAAGTTAATTCCAATCACCCTCCAGGGCCACTTGCTGCCCCAGATCAAACTCCTGACTGGGATTATGATACGCAAGCTGGCATACAGAGTAGGGACTGATTCTCTGAATTTATTATTGCTGAGCTCAAAAAAGCWGCACCTAAGCCCATCAGTTTCCAAAAATTACAAGAGATTATTCAAAAGCGAGAGGAGACCCCATTGGAATTTCTGCATCAGCTTACAAAATCCCTTCAGCAGTATACTAACCTAGATCCCGAAACCCCAGATGGCCATCATGTCCTTATGACATATTTCCTCTTGCAGAGCTACCCCGACATCCGGGCCAACTAAAAAAGCTCAAACAAGGCCCTGCCACCCCCAAGACTGAGATCTTGGCGGTAGCCTTTACGGCTTTTCACAAGGCTGAACATAGTAATTTAAGATGCTTGCCCAGGCCCTGCAGGGTGCTTGCTCAGGTTGCTGCCCCTCACAGCAGGTCAAACCCCACCCCACCCCCGCGCGCCTGCTTCAAGTGTGGCAATGAGAGGGACATTGGGCCAGGGCATGCCCCGCACCAGGCACTCTGCATACCCCATGCCCTAAATCAACAACATGGTCATTGGGGCTCTGACTATCCTAGATCCCGTAGGAGGCCTATGGCCAGGGAATCCTCTGACCTTCTGGACATGTCAATCAATTGACGGAGCCTTGGGTCATTGCACCCCCCCCCCCCTCRGCCGCAATGATCAATAGACAGGAACCCAGGGTGTGGATTCAGGTGGATGGATGCAAGTTTGACTTTCTCCTTGACACCCGGGCTGGGACCAATTCCATGATACCAGGGGATAACTAAATAAGAACTTCTTATTTGATTATATGCTTAAGTCTCACAAAACTACTTTGAATGACTTTTCTATATATTATCTTAGCTCTTTGGTTTGGTGTTTACTTATTTTTCTTTCTTCCAGGCAAAAATAGCAAGACTTCAAAGACGTATTAAAACAGTATTATTATCTCAAAGGAAAGGTTTGGAACCAAACACATTATCTAGTAATATAGCCTGTCAGGTTGGTATAAACACTCAGGAGTTTTAATAACCTAGATGACTCCTATAAGTAGTTGGACTGTAAGAAATGAATTTATTTCCTAACTTGGACATAAATTAATTTATACTTAGAATGTTCTTATGAATTGTACCACTTGCATTTCTTTAGTTTGAAAACGGTCAATATATACAGCAAAGTTGAAAGAATTTTACAGTGAGTATTCATATACCGAGCACCTAGATTTTAACTTTAATATTTTGCTAACTTATTCTTGTCATATATATTCATCCCCAGTAAGCCATGTATATTTGATACATTCAGAATGCCAGTATATTTTGTGTCAAAATAAACTTTGAAACATACGTTTCAAAATATTACATATAAAATGATTAAGTACAATTTAATGGCTGTTTTTGTGTGTATTTATTTGGGGAGTGGATACTAGGAATTGAATCCAAAGGAGGCTTTACACTGAGCCACATCCCAGCTCTTTCAGTTTTTATTTAGAGGCAGAGTTCATTAAGTTGCTTAGTGCTTAATGAGCTAAGTGCTGAGGCTAGCCTCAGCCTCCCAACATGTTTGTACCACCATGCCCAGCTAGCTGTTTATATTTTTATATACAACTTATAATTTGTGCATGTACCCCGAATTATTTTTTTTTATAATGTATGTTAGTATTTGGCTTCATTTCTGATATGGTTAATCTGCTTTTTTTCTTGACAAGTCTAGAGCTTTCGAAGTTTTACTCTTTCATTTTTCTCATTGATTTCTGTTCTTCATTCTTTCTTTACATACATTAGATTTCTGCGCTTTTTTGTGTGGGCATGTGTGGTACTGGGAGTTGAACCCAGGGGTGCTCTACCATTGAGCTACTTCCCCAGACATTTTAAAATATTTTTTATTTTGAGTTAAGATCTCAGTAAGTTTCTGAGACTGGCCTTGAACTTTCTGTCCTGCTACTTTCAGCCTCCTTAGTGGCTAGGATGGTAAGTGTGCACCACTGCAGCATGCTCAGGGGATTGTTTTTTTATATATGAGGTCACGGTATAGCTGAATCGTCCTACAGTTGTCTTGGGAAACCAAAGTTGTAAGCAATGGACTTGGATTTTTTTTTTAAAGTTGGACCCAGCACATGCATTCATTTATTTATTTATTACGTGTTGCTGAGGATGGAACTCGGTACCTCACACGTGCTAGGCAAGCAATCTACCACTGAGCCAAAACCCCAGCCCCCTGGACTTGGATTTTTATTAGGTTGACAAGATTTCTGAGCAAGTGTTGAAGGAACGTTTTGGGTATTTCTTCTTGCTTCTATTAAAGTACAAGATGAAAGAAACAATTGTAAGGAGAAAGTGCTGAGTAATAAGGGTGCTGCACACTGGAAAATTCTCAACCTATCCAGATCACAACAGATCCTAAAATTAGGAAGTTTATTGGCAAAAAAGGGTGCTGTGAAGAAAAAACCAAAGACATGGTTGTACGACCTTTTGCTTCTCCCAGAGGAGCAAAAGGTGACAGTGTTCAGCCAAACCAAGGGTTCTTTGAAGAGATGTGGCATATACCTTTTCAGTAGGCAGTTCCCCTTTAGGTTTAGTGTGTAGGTCCTGCTCTCCTCTCTTAAGTGTTCTTTCCCTGAGATTTTGTGTGCTACTTGAGTTGCCTTCATTCCTGTGGCTCCCCTGGGTGTCCTGTTCATTTCGTATGGGTCCTACCATGGTTCCCAGTGCTGTTGGATGGAAGTTCAGGAGATGTTGGCCCATGGACCCTGTCAGGCAGTGCCCTGGGCTTGCTGTTGCCTGGGCGGGGAGCAGGGGTGATGTGGATGTGTGAGTGTTGCAGGCCCTATTACTGTCCCTCGTGTGGTGCGCTGACCATCCAGACTTTGAAGTGGATTGGGCCACCTTTTCCTGATTTGCAATGTTGTTTAATACAATAATATTGCAGAATTGTGCTTTAGTGTATCTGCATTTTTTGTGTGTATACTGTACCAGAGAATGGTTCCTGAGTTAGACAATCAGTTGATCCTTTCCTATTGGGTAATATGCAGACATATTGTAAATGCTGCAAGTTCTCAAGCCAGAACGCAGACTACATGTTTAAGCTTTAAATAGATTCACTACTTGGAAAAGTGAGTTTGCAATCTGATTTATTTCTGGTCTTTATTAGAAATATGGCAGTAGTAAAAAGTTGAAGTCTTATTTTTTTTAGTTTCTAAAACTTCAGCTGGTAGAAATAAAATGTTGTCTAAAGTATTTAATATCCCTCCTTATCATCCAACCTAGGAAGTTGAGTGCTGTCTGGTAACATTATACTTATTTCCTTGAAGTTTTGGTTTTTTTTCCTCAAAGTTTTTAAAAGTTTATTCTGGCAGAGAAATCACAATTGTGGTCATCAGTTGTTGAAATACAGATTATATAATGTTTTGTCATGTGAGAATATTTTGAAAATATTTTTAAGTGAAATTTTGACTGACATAAATTTTACCCACTCCTTAACTGTTTTTCCTCACCCATTTAACAGATTACAAATTCAGAGACCATGAATTTTGGTAGGAATCAAGAATCAATTAATAATCCAAATGAAAGAGTAACTTCAGTGAACTCTGAATCTTCTAACCCCTTGAAGAAAGCAAATGAAAACATTAATTTGTCACCAGATTGTGTTGAGTTTGTTTCTGAAAGGTAGGTGTTTCTACAAAAATGAGCAAACTTTCTTTTCTAAACAAATACTTTGTAAAAATATACCCTTTTCTTAATTAAGCATAAAATAACTTGTAACTTCATACATGAAGACTTTTGTCCATTATGAAAGAACACAATTGGTTCTCTAAAGCTTGATTGTTGTTTAATAGTTCTAAATTTTTAAATGGAGAGGTGATCAAGTTTTTCCTTTGATACTTCCCGACTTTGGTAGAATGATTGACTCTAACATAATTTCCAGTTCTACGCATGAAAAAGTCAAGGCCCCTGGGAAACAGTAGTTGAAACAATTATGCCCAAGGGTTGTTAGGGTTAGGAAAGAAGTACCTGAGGTTAGTTCCCTTCATATTGAAAGTAGTATCATGGTAACCTCAAATCAGAGTGAAAGGTTAACTTATTTGTCTAATTGGGTCATAAACAACTGAGAAGTTTATTTTCTAATCTAGTCTAAAAGATTTGGGGGAAATAGGGAATGGTTATAATTCAATAAAGAAATACATCTGGTGGTCCTGGCCTAGGTGGATATTCAAGGGGAGGAGTGGTGGCATATTAATAAATTCTTTTCTCATCACGGGTGATGAGAAAGTTTCTATTTCTAATTGAGTTTTCTTTAACATTTCTCTTTACATGTCCTGTATTTTTAATTTTCATCCTTTTTTATTGGTACATAATTTGGCCCAAATCATTCACCAGTATTTCACCTTCCCCCCACCCTCCTTCCTGCTGGTCCTTCTCTACACATTTCCCTTCAGTTTTCATGAGACTCCCACTGCCTTTCCCTTTGTCCTGTCTAACTTCTAACTTAGAGAAAACACACCACCCATAACTTTCCGACTTTAGCCTGTTTCACTGAAGCTAGTGTTCTCAAGTTTCATCTACTTTCCTGTAAATGACATAATTTCATTCTTCTTTATGACTGATAAAACTCCATTTGTTTATATAYATACCGTATTTTATTTTTATTCATTCATTCACTTGGGAAGCCTCTGCCGACTCCAGAGTTTTGCTGTTGTGAATTGTGCTGCGTAAACTTGGGTATTCATGTGTTGCTGTACTTTGCTGACTAATTCTTTAGGATAAATACAGAGGAATGACATAACTGGATCATATGGTTGTTCCATTCCTAGTCTTTTGAGAAACCTCAATATTGATTTCCATAACAGTTTTTCTAATTTATAATTCAAACAGCCAAAGTGTTTCTTTTTCTGTACATCCTCTAGCAATTATTGTTTGTGTTTGTTTTAAAATTTACTTATCTAAACTGTTGTATATGACAGAAGTGTCTGACAGCATTTCAATTTATAGAACACATATAGAACACAATTTTTCATGTCTCTGGTTGTACACAAAGTAGAGTCACACCTTTCTTGTCTTCATTCTTTACTTGGGGTAATGATGTCCATCTCTTTCCACAGTCTTTCCTACCCCATCCTCTCTCCCTTCCCCTCCATCCCCTTTGTCCTATCTAAAGTTCCTCCATTCCTCCCATGTTCCCACCCCGCCTCCCCATTATGGATCAGCGTCCTCATTTCAAAGAAAACATTCAGCATTTGTTTTTTTTGGGATTGGCGTACTCCACTTAGCATRGTATTCTCCAACTCCATCAATTTACCTGCAAATGCTATGATTTTATTCTCTTTAATACTAGTAGTATTCCATTGTGTATATATATACCACATTTTCTTTATCTATCCATCTACTGAAGGGCATCTAGGTGGTTCCACAATTTAGCTATTGTGAATTGTGCTGCTGTAAACGTTGATGTGGCTGTGTCATTGTAGTATGCTGTTTTTAAGTCCTTTGGGTATAAACCGAGGAATGGGATACAGCTGGGTCAAATGGTGGTTCATTCCCAGTTTTCCAAGGAATCTCCAAACTGCTTTCCAGATTGGTTGCACCAATTTGCAGTCCCACCAGCAATGTGTGAGTGTGCCTTTTTCCCTACATCCTCACCAACGCATATTACTGTTTGTATTCTCAATAGCTGCTATTCTGAGTGGAGTGAGATGAAATCTTAGAGTAGATATTGATTTGCATTTCTCTAATTGCTAGCGATGTTTTCATATATTTTTTCATATATTTGTTGATTGTATATCATCTTCTGAGAAGTGTCTATTCAGTTCCTTGACCCATTTATTGATTGGGTTATTTGGTTTTGGGGGCTGTTCAGCAAAATGAATTAAACCCCTGTCTCTCACCATGCACAAAAGTCAAAGTGGATCAAGGACCTAGGAGTTAAACCGGAGACCTGCGCCTAATAGAAGAAAAAGTAGGCCCAATCTTCACCATGTCGGCTTGGGCCCCGACTTCCTAACAAGACTCCTGTAGTGCAAGGGTAAAATCAAGAATCAGTGAATGGGATGGGTTCATACTACAAAGCTCCTTAGGAAAAGAAACCATCAGTGATGTGAATAGAGATTTTTCCACAAGCACATTAGGTAATCTCCAGAGTATATAAAGAACTGTTTGTATTCTTGATGTCTGCCATTCTAATAAGAGTGAAATATCAGTGTAGTTTTGACTTGCAGTTTCTTAATTGCTAAAGATATTGAACATTTTTTTTTCATGTRTCTTTTAGCCATTTGTATTTCTATACTTGAAAAGTATTTACTTCATTATTAATTGGGTTATTTGTTTCTTTGGTGTTAAATTTTTGAGTTCTTTATATATTCTGGATGTTAACCCTCTGTCAGAGTAGTGAGCAAAGATCTCCTGTATGTTCTTTCTTCACATTCTTAATTGTTTCCTTTGCTGTACAGAAGCTTTTTAATTTGATGCCACTCCATTTATTCTTGGCATTATTTTATGAGGTTTCGGAGTTGGTTGAGGAATTCATTGCTTGCACCTGTCTGTTGGAGTTGCAAAGTTTTCGATCTGATTCCTAGGACTTAGATCCATTTTGAGTTGGCTCTTCTGCACACCAAGAGACAGGGACCTAGACTCTTTCTTTTACATGTGGATGACTAGTGTTTCCGGCAGCATTTGCTAAAAAGAAAAAAAAAATGGCTGTCTTTTCTTTAATATATTTCCAGGATCAGATGACTGTGTCTGTGTGGGTTTGTCTCTGTGTCTTGTATTCTGTTCCATGGTCTATGTGGGATTTTTCTATGCCAGGACCAGAGCTTTCCCATGTACCAGTACTAAACTGTAAAGCTCTGTAGTATAATTCAAGGTCAGATGTTGTGATGCCTCCAACATTGCTTTTTTGACTTAAAATTGGTTTGGCTCTTCTATGTCTTTTATTCTTCCAAATGAATTTTAAGACTGTTTTTTCTAGTTCCTTGAAGGATGCCATTGATATTTTGATAGGGATCACACTGAATCGGGTATTGATTGTATAACATGACCATTTTAACAATCCTGCCTATTCATGAACATGGGACGTCTTTTCATCTTGGTGTCTTCTTCAGTTCCTTTCTTCAGTGTTCTATAGTTTTCATTATAGAGATCTTTCACCTCCTTGGGTAGATTCATTCCCAGGTGTTTTTATTTTTTTGAGGCTGTTGTAAATAGGATTTTTTTCTTGATTTCTTTCTCAGCAGTTTTGTATATGGAAAAGCTATTGATACTTGTATGTTGGTTTCGTAACCCGGTATTTTGCTGAATTTGTTTATTAGCTCTAGAAGTCTGCTTTTTTGGATCTTCTCTGTAATTTTTATTTGAAATATTAAATTATGGCCATTCTTTGAAGAAGAACACTTTTTCCAACTAATTGCTATTCATATTTAAGGTTGCTATAAAACAAAGGAGAAGGGCTGGGGTTGTGGCTCAGTGGTAGAGCGCTTGCCTAGTATGTGTGAGGCACTGGTGTTTGATTCTCAGCACCATATGTAAATAAATAAAGTCCATTGACAAGATAAAAAAAATTAAACAAAGGAGAAAAACAAATACCATTACTGACAGCACTAATTCACTTCTAGGGCATCAGAAAACAACAATTATATAAACTCCTGGCTTGGGCTGGGGTCGTGGCTCAGTGGTAAAGCGCTTGCCTAGCACGAGCGAGGCCCTGGGTTCAATCCTCAGCACCACGTAAAAATAAATGAATAAAATAAAGGTACTGTGTCCAACTACAACTACAAAATAACTATTTAAAAAAATAAAATAAAATGTCCTGGCTTTCTCTAGCATCAGGATAATAATATGAGGAACCATGCATTTCTTTTTTCGCTTTCTTTTTAAAGAATTCCTTTATTTCTTAAATCCTTTAAGAAATAAATTATGTGTGTGCAAAGTATATAAACTGATATGTAGAAAAACTATGATGGAGGCTTCACACTCCAACAACTTTGAAAAGCTGTATTTAGAATCATTTTTTTTTTCCAGTAAGGAAAGAAAAAAAAATTTCAAACTCAACCTGGTTTCTGAAAGCCAGGAGGTTTTATAATTGTTGATTTCTGATGCCCTAGAATTGAGTTAGTGGTGTTAGTAATGGTATTTGTTTTTATGGTATCTTTTAGATTTAGAAGTTTGAGCACTTTTCATTTTATAATGTGAAGAAAATTGAAAAGACAGTAATAACTGATCTGTAGAAGCTTGTAGAACAGAAGGCTTATGACTGTAATATCTGTTTGATAAAGAAGAATCTTGCTTAATAATAGGAGGAGAAGGGCTTTATGTACAGTCCTTTCCAAAAATGAAGATAAAACATGAAGGTCTTCGGTACCTAAGAACAGACCACTTAACAAATGCTGATTAAACAAAATGTCAATACTGCCCAAAATGTCTTAGATTGAATTTCATATGAATAAGTGTTTACAGAGACACAAAGGGGGAAAACAAGTTACTGGCTAATAGTAGCCTAGAGAAATAGGCATGTGTTTCTTCCTACTTATTCTTTGTTGAAATTCATCTCATCTTAATAATAAATTTATATGTTTTTTCTAGTCAAAGCCAAAGCAGAGTTTTTGCTCCAAAATACTCAGCTAGTAAATGGCATAGCCAGAATTTAGATCCAGCCATTGTCTCCAGAACTCAGCATT